CAGTGTTTGATTAACTAAAAAAAAGGTTGTTTTTGCCAATCCCCCCCCTCTCCCCCCCCCCCCCCCATAACGCTATCACAATCTTCTTCTTCTTCTATATCTTAAAGGCCCACGATCAATTTATTGATCATTTTGGCTCCTATATCAATCTAGAACAATAAATAATTAATGGTTTGATCCGCCTCTGACCCACGGTCAGCAAATTCTGTAAACATGCAGAAGATGGACGTATTTTCGATACTTAAAAATAAAAAATTAAAAGACGAAAATTTAAACGATTTTCATTTTATGAAGAAGCTAGTATATAACAGGGGGAATATTATTTTAAAAATTTCAAATAAAACATTTGTGCAACTACGACCTCGGCATCAAATAGGCATCACGTATTCTAAGAACTTAATCTGGCTTAATTCAACCTTTTGTTTTGTGTCAAGATTCGATAACTTCGCAACAACGCACACACATCAACACTAGGCGGCCATCCTCGCCTGAAACACTCACCTACAGCCAGGAGTCGTCTCCCAGTCCTCTCAACCGTGCTCGGCACACGAGCACGAGACAACATCGAGACAACGGCACTCCTCCTACACGGCGTGTGAGACTTCTTTTTTTTGAAATGGTCTTTTAATGACGTTGAAAAAAAACCACACACACACACGCATACGCGCACACGCAAAAAATCCTCAAGCCGAATGATGAAAAAAACACAACCAAAAATAAAAATAAAAAATTAAAAAATCCTCAGGGTTAATAAAGTTTGTTTTACCTCGAATTCTCTCCCCTTCTACGCATTCTCTCCCTCCAACACTCTGACCTTCCCCCCCCCCCCGCCTCTTCTACGTTGGTGAGTATAAATAGTAAGGGGTAACGGAATTTAGAACAACTCACGACAAGAGTTGAAGGGCATAAAAAATATAAAAAAACAACATCCGTGCCATAAATCTATGATGTTGCGAACTGCCCCATGTAGCGCTTTTAAAACATAGTATTTCGTCAAATAATGTTTACAAAATATTTCAGCTTAATGGCCCCCCCCTCCCTTTTGTTTCAACGCCGAGAGCTCTGGTTTAAGCTGCCCAGCCTTAGTTTAAGCTGTCCAGTCCCAGGTTTAACCTGTTCAGCCCACAAATTTTAAGCTGCCCAGTCCCAAGTTTAGCCCGTTCTCACCCCCCCCCCCCCAATTGTAAGCTTCCCAGCCCCAAAATAAGTTGTCCATCCACAAGTTGAAGCTGTCCAATAATAATAATAATAATAATAATAATAATAATAATAATAATAATAATAATAATAATAATAATAATAATAATAAGTGGTCTTATATTGCGCGGTACTCCAGCCCAGGGCTGGGCTCACCGCGCTGTACATACATTTTTTTATCAAAAGAGAAATAATCATGACATTAAAATAAAATACATTTATGAAATAAGGAACAGCAAAAAAATGTATATTCACCGACTCCGACACATAACTTTTACAAGGCAAACCATGGACGGCAGCCAGCAAGATCGTTTATCGGTCAGAGGAGGGGAATCACTCAGGGTAGTATAATTTAAAAAGATGTGTTTTGAGTGCTGTTTTGAAGGCCTGGGTGGTTGGTATATTGCGTATGTGTAGTGACAAAGAATTCCATTGTTTGGGGGCGCAGAAAGAGAAAGATCGTTCACCATATGTTTTAGTATGTGTCTGCAGAGGAGCGACGCTGTCGAAGGGGTGAATAGGCCGAAAGAAGTTCGGTTATATAGGAAGGGCAGGAATCCGAGAAAAAGTTGTGACAGAGAACAGACAACTTGTAGTCAATGTGTGCCTGTATAGGTAGCCAATAAAGGGAATGTAGTAGTGGAGTGACGTGATCACGTTTTTTTGCCTTTAAAACAAGCCTAGCAGCTGAGTTTTGAACTTTCTGCAGTTTTTCTATGCAGTGTTTTGGTGAACCTGACAGGATAGAGTGGCAATAGTCAAGACGAGAGAGAACAAGAGCACAGACTAGAGTTTTTGTAGCGCTAACTGTGAGGTAGTGGCGTATGGAGCTGATCTGACGGATAGTGGTGTATGCGTAACGACAAATGTGAGATATGTTTGAGCTGCCCAGCCCCTGTACTGTTTAATCCTCCACGGCAATGATAAAACACTAACATTTCTGTCTAACAAATTTTTTAAAATATTGTCTCCGAGAAATTGTGCCAAAATGTCAGGGTCTAATGAAGGGAAATTCCATGAAATTCTGCTGCCATCAGGGGGTAGCTAGAGTTTGTGACGTCCAGTGGGGTTCTTGATGTTGCTACCACTATTTTGTGAAAACCAAGATATACTTAAAAAAATAAGCAAAGCTATAATCTATTTGAAAGTAACTGAGAATGTCATCCTAAGCCCCAAACCAAAAAAAAAAAAAAAAAAAAAAAAAAAAAAAAAAAAAAAAAAAAAAAAAAAAAAAAAAAAAAAATAAAAAAAAAAAAAAAAAAAATACTTAAAAAAAAAAGCAAAGCTATAATCTATTTGAAAGTAACTGAGAATGTCCTCCAAAGCCCCAAACCAAAAAAAAAAAAAAAAAAAAAAAAAATTCAAATAAAATAAAATAAATAAAATACAAAAATAATTTAAATAAAAAAATGAACTAATATGAGTTTAATCAATCAATCAATAAATAATAAAAATTCTTACAAAAAAAAAAAATAAAAATAAAAAATTAATATATCTTTAGGCCTACCCCTCCAGGATTTCTTGGCCCTTGAATGATGTCATGAAGATCGTTTATCTAAGCCTAACACTAGTTCATGCCACTGATCGACTTGTCGTCTTAACATTTGGAAACGCCATTGCTGGGCTCCGACGTGGAGGCTCTTTTGCATATAAACATTAAACGTGTCATAGTGGTCCTTGTGCAAAGCTAACCCGTGGGGGAACCTTCCAATAGTAATTATGTCGACGTACGAATTTCTTTCAGAGCTTTTTCCATAACCACCCTTGAATATCAAAACTCTTTGGGACTCAGTTGTGACCACACCTTGAGACCACCAGATATGACCACAAGTTGTGACAACCGGATGGGACCACAATTTGGGAACACAAATAATTTTAAATTTTTAAAATGTTATTAAATCTGAAATATATAAATTAATAAACTTGACTAAAACAGAACGCCGTAGATTACACCCCCCCCCCCCTAATTCCCCTGCCCAAACCCAAGCGTCAGACAGCTTAGCACGCGCGAATAGATGGATGGATCGCTGACGAGAAGATCGCGCCGCTGCTGCGTCTTGTTATCATTGGTAGTGGGACTCTCCTTAGTCTGGAGAAGCTGATGTCTCTGGCCTCTCAGGTTAACCATCAGAGCTTTAGTTTACCCGAGAAATTGTTAAACAGAGCCCCCAGACCCACCTTCAGCAGAGAATAAGTTCGGTACTTATTTTTCAGGGGCTTAACTATTTATTTTGGCTGTATACGGAAGGATGGGGGTGGAAGGATGGGAGTGGAAGGATGAGGGTGGAAGGATGACAGCAGTGTTTCTTTTCAGGCATTTCTTCGAGAGGGGGGTCGAGTGTTGGGCAATTGCCCCCGCCCCCCCCCCAGCAATTTCCACTGCAATATAAAAAAAAACATTAAAAAAACAAACAAACTACATTTTGTTTGGGTGGTCCAGCCCCCCCCCCCCCAAAAAAAAAAAAAAAATCGCCCGCTCGCTCGTTTTTATTTATATATTTATTTATTTATTTATTTAGGCATTTTTATATAGCGCTTATCATAAAGCTCTAAGCGCTTTACAGTTATTAAAACATGTAAACTAAGTAAATACAAATGAGACACTAGGATAGTAACTACTATTCTATAGAAACAATGAAAATGGCTATAAAAAGAGGACACTTTGACACTTCAGGATTAAACCGAAACAGAAAATTAGGTAGGGCAAGGAGGGTGCATCACAGGTCATAGGCGGACCTAAACAGATGAGTTTTAAGGGACTTTTTGAAAATGGACGAGGTTTCACTATGACGTATATGGAAGGGGAGCTGGTTCCAGAACGTGGGCCCATGGAAGCAGAAGGAGCGTTCACCGATATATACTTGTCGTGAAATCCATTGACAGATCTCTCTACTTATCCCACATTTTTTTTTGCTTAATATACTTGGGATTTATCTCTTATAATTATGACCTTATGGTCAACCATGAGAAAGCAGTGCCAAATGGATTTGATGAGATGCAGGTCCTGCTACAAGATCGCGAGCAGTAGTTCAAACTGCCTTTCTTTATCTCAAGCCTAACTAGATGTATCAAATCATGAGCAAATTTTACAATGTTTGTTATTAAACGACTTTGCTCATGAGGAATGTAAGTGAATAACATCAAGCAGCTCCAGTGTTCAACAGTAAGCACGTCTGATTATGTTGCCCTCGATTCTGGTACAACAGGTTTGATGGAAATTAACTTTACCCTGTTGACATTAAAACCCGATTGGAGTAGCTTCAGCTTTAGACTTTAGACACGACCTCCGGATGTTATCGGTGGCTTGTCCGAGGTCGAAGAATACCACTTTTCCCTTTCGGGAATTGACGCTGATGAATGGAATAAAACGGACTTCATGGTCCATTGACCCTTTCCCAATTGCAGACATGTAATAGATAACTCAATGAGAGGCTAAATTTAAAAAAAAATATAATAAGTTTTACTGGGATAAAGAACATATATTATGCTTAGTGGGTGTAGTTTAGACTATGACAGTTAACATATTAATCCAAATAAATATGAATTATAAGGAATTTAGAATATAATTAATTTGATATTTTTCACTTTTTGCAAAATTTATAACTACTTACAAAATAATCTAATTACTTCAAGTAGTGCTATATCAATTTTAAAAATATGTAAGCGTCTTCTTAAATATATTTTAATTTAGGGCTAAATTTTCTTTTGAATTGCAACCCGGAACAAAATTGTGCCGGGACACAAGGCGAAGGCACCGGTCTATAAACTCAGAGGTAAAAAAATGTTACACGTCACCGGCTGGTGATTCAGAATGAGACGACAAGGGAAGTAAGTCATTCCTATTCATTGTCACTTCCTCGTTCGCAACTGTAGAACTTTTAGCAGTTTTAAAGTTTTTAATATTTCGGCAATAATTATTGACCAAAATGAGTGGTAAAGTTATCGTCTACATTAGCAATCTTGTTTCAAATATGGAGGTAAGAAGTTATTTTAATTTATATAATAATTATGCAAAATTATGTGTAGTCGTGACAATAATGATCCCAGTCAGTGTCAGTCACAAACCCGGTATACTTGCAGTTACTGGTAAACCCACAACACCCATGCCATACCTAAGTCAGAGGCGTACCAAAGTCAGATTCATAAGTAAAATTTAATTTATTGGTCTTGGGCTTGAAAAACGAATATAAAAGAAGCAATGACCATTGAAATGTCACCCAATGTCTGCTCTTATTGAAACTGTTGAGGCTGAGGTATTTAGAAAGTAAGAAAGCAGCCAATTTTAAATATGTTAATATGGGAGTGGTTATTCTAGGTCTCATTTAGACACTGACAGAAATTTTAAATATTTTCCCATTGCCATAACTGATACATCATTTAAAAGTGATAAATTATTTTAAAAGGGCTAGCTTTATAAAAACATAAATTTCATCTTTCTATCTTTTATAATTTATAGAAGTGGAGTTATGAATTTTTTGGTGATTTTTAAAAAGCCACCCTCTTTATCTTTGTATTTAATTGCAAAAATGTGTGGCAGACTTCCATATTTCTGCATTATTTTTCCCAAAACTTGTTTATTTTAAAAGATAATGCTACCGAATTTTCAGGAAATATTCTCAATGCAATATAATATAGTCAGGTAGTTGTAAAAGTTATGTAAAGTTTACAGTAAAGCTACTGAGCCAACTGTCAAAAGTGGCCTAGCCTTGATTTTTTATTCAATCTATCTTGAGCTCCACTCGTGGTGTACATGGAATTGGTTTTTAAATGCAAATAAATTTAAACGGTTATTTTGTTATTACAAAGTGAGTAAAGTGAGTAACTCTGTAACTTTCCTGCTTATAATAACACTAAACCTTTTTTGTTTCTTTTTTGCCTAGACTCGTAAGCAACAGATGAGGATCCAGGATGTTTTATCTGGTGCTAAGATTGATTTCGAAGTAGTTGATGTGTCTGCCAACAAAGAAAACCTGGCTAAAATGAGAGAAGTAGTGGGAAATGAGCATGCTCTTGCACCTCAAATTGCTAATGGAGATAATTACTGTGGGGTAAGTGAACCGTAATGCAATGTTTACTGTGAGATTAGAGTAATAATGCATTATATATTATTGGATATCAACTACAGGGGGAATGTCACTGTGCTTCTTGTATATAAAAAATGTTAATATTTTGAATACCCTAGTACATGATAAAAAAACCAAAAAACATTATAAAATAACATACAGCAATAAAATTGATCCGGTAGATTCATGACAGCCATTTATAACTTTAGTCTCCAATATTACTAAACAAATAAAGTTACCTTTAGTTTAAACAGAAAACAGGTTCTGTTTATTGCTAGTGTTTTTGTTAATATGTCTTTATTTAAAATCCTAATTAAAATAAATTTAACTAATTTTACTGCCTTTGGACAACTTGAAAGTATTTCCTATGAAGAATGGTCACATGTATTTACAGCTAAATTTCGTATGTGCATCGATTCAGTCATGCGTAGAGCTCAATGCATTAATGATCCTTCCCCCCCCCCCCCCCCCCGTACACATGTTTTGCTACACTTAACGCAGTAATGTAAAAATTGATAAAAGCATCATTGCTTTCCTTCTCCAGGACTACAATGCATTTGATGATGCAGTTGAATGCAAGACATTACATCAGTTCCTGAAGGTCTAAGAAGCTTTGCTCTCTCTCCTGTATCCATATTTGCTCCACCATGCAAGCATTGTCACTGACAGAGTGAGCCACTTAGCTATGTTCGCATCTATCAAAGGATCAAACAAATTTAAAGCCTCTTGTACTTTATCTTTATCACATTAATAATCTGTAATGGGTTTTTTTTTTACCCAGATGGTGGATTAAGGCTTGATATTTTTTGTTTATATTCATTCAGATAATTTCTACAAAATAGACACTCAGTACATTTTGAGTACCGGTAATAAATTAAGTATCAATATTTTCCTGAGGCTTGTAACATTTATGCTTTTCAACAACTTCTTATCATGTATTTATTTATGGTCACTCAGTCAGTGAAGTATTTTTGTTTTGTGTTACATTCCCTGTTCACAATTTTATATGGTTTGGTTACTATTGCTATTTTATAGAGTACTTTATTTTAACTTGTTTGGACTGGCAATGTCTGCTACCAGTTTCACAACATAGGCATTTTGATGATGACACGTTCAAGAAATTTTTTTTAAAAATGTGTCTTCCCCATGACAAGGGTGGAGAGGGTTTTGTTTTAAATGAGATGGAGTGACAGCTTATTTGTTAATTTAAAAAACAAAACAAAACATCTTGTAATATGAGATGAATGTGTGTTTGTTGAGGATCAACTTTTCACCACATTTTTTATATTGATGCTCCTGCAATGCTTTTAAAAGCAATGAAACTTCACATTTGCTAACAAAGGGCAGTTTATTTTAGGGGATTAAAAAACTGAAAATTTAATTTTAGGATGAGCTTATCATATTATTAAAATCTGATTTAAAAAAAAAAAAAAAAAATTTTCAGATTTTTACCAATGTCCGTCTTAAGAGAGTGTTTCTTGCTGTTTATCCATTGTTTTTATAACAATACACCTGTTTGTTAAATGATGTTTAAAACAAGCACTTCCTTATCTTCCTCCTTTCTGATGCCATGTGTTTTTCTCACATCAAACTTAAACCATTCAGCTTTTTGCTTAGATATATCTCTAGGTTTCTTTGTCCTGGATTTTTATATTATGTCAATCCTATGGATACAGAAATATGCAAGCTAGTGTTACATTTGTCTTCTGGTTTGGATATTGATGAAAATTAAAGCTGCTCTAGCTACAAGTCAAGATTGGTTGCACCAAACCCAATGTGATAATCTCATGCTAGTCTGATTGTCCAACATATTTTTAAAAAACTAGAGAAGTGATCAAGAAAATACTGAACAGATTCAAACATATTTGTTCATCTACACCTGATGTATTTTTGACACTTGACATATCTGCATCCTTGGCCGGCTCGTGCCTGAATAACATTCCTGTTCTATGTAAAGTAAAGGACCCACTTGCTGATTTTAATCAATTAAAAAAAACAATAACCAAATCTATTGCAATCTTAGGTAATAAAAATCAAACTGTATGCAAAAACTTGACTACATTCACCACAAAACAATGTATAGATCAAAAGCCTTCTTCAGCAAACATGTGAAAAAATAAATAAAAGGTCAGTTAACATCATATCAAGTTGGATACGCTGGATTCGCCAATATCATTCCTATTGCAATGTCAATTCGTCTGCGTTCATTCCATCCGCTTAGGTGTACTGGTACTAACATCAACCTTTTCTATTAATGAAAACGGATTCATTTTTTAAAAATCATTAAATATGTCTTTTTGGCTTTTTAAAAAGTGGTTTGAACAATTCTATGGGTATCCAATGACCAATCTTGCAACTCTTGAGTTATGTAAGTACATGGTTAAGGAACTCTGGTGTATAGTATTTATATATAAGTATATCTGTTGTGTCAGCTTTTTGTCTACCTGTTTGTTTGCTGTCCGGTGTTTTCATTTTTGTAAAATGATTATTTTTTAAAAAGTGTTTTTTGAGTTATTGTGCAAATATATAGATACATCTTAATTTTATTCTAAACTTTTATTTGTAAAAGCCTGTGCTATGAAATTTTACATGCATGTTTTTGCATCTTTTTAAAGACTCAAAGCATCATCTTTTATCTGTACCTTTAAACAGGATGGTTTTAATATGGGCCCTTTATAAAAAAAATATAAAAATGATCAAACATTTTTCACTGCAAAATTTCAGCTTTCCATGATTTGCATTCCTGATATGTTTATTTATAACAATGACCTTGTTTGATAATCAATATTGAACAAAAAAATTTGTTTGTTGGAAGGTTTGGAGGGGGATCGGGGTGGATTAGACATCATTCCATCCTTGTAAAAAAAAAAAAATTACAAGTAGTACATTTGTAGACTTTTACAAACTCTCCCATTCCTTGGTGTTTTAAATTTGGCATGGTTCAAAAGCTCAACTGTTGACACTTCAGACTCTCAAAATTTTACTACTTGTGATTAGATTACAGTCCCCCAGACAAAAGTACCAAAATGAAATGTATTGCATTTATGAACTTGTGCTTTCTTACTTGGTAGGGTTAAGATTTTCCTGCCTTAAACTAACCTGCTGGAGATGAGCCTTTCATCTCCTGTGGACAGTCTCACTTTATTTCTGATTTACTTCTCACCCTTTGTAGGCCTTACCCAATCCTTAATTGGCTTTCAAAGTTTTACCTTGTGGTCATAAATGGGAATTGAAAAACTTCATGAGGGATGTAATTGTAATGAATTCAGAGGACAAACAAGTCAGCCATTTTTCTGATTTCTCTTAACTCAGTGTAAGTGATTCACTAGATCAGCTGTAGCTGAAAAATCTTGATATTGATTAGACCAGCTGATGTTGATGAATCTTGAAATTGATAAACTAGTAAGCTCCAGCCTCCAGGGCTTACAGTCTATGTTTCTCTATGTAATTGTAATAGAACCACATTTAAGATTCTATTCTACTGGTTATTTTGTGCTCAAAGCCTCTTGAAAATGATTTAGAGAAGGAATTTTTTTTTTTTTTTTTTTTTTTTTTTTTAGTTAAAATATTGCATGCGTTTTCTCATTAATTTGTCTATATCAAGCCAGATAGTCGCTTTAAGTCTATTATAGAAGATATGAAGTCACAACAGAATTATATCAATCTTGCTACAAACAAGTTTGCTCTATTTACTTGTTAGTCCCAACATTGGTCTGAAGAGTGGAAATAAACACAGCTTTTCATTGGCCAGTTTAAAAACCTTATTTTTAATATGAAAATAATAAACAAAACTTTTATTTTGCCATACTTGTTGTCAACAGATTTATATTTCTACAGTTTTCAACTTACAATTTGAAGACCTCCTTGTTTAAATAACTTTCCCTTTGTTATGGGCAAGCAAGTGTTTTATTTTTTGTATAAAGGTTTCTTTTTGTTACTTAAAATAGGCTCACCTGATGTATCTCTCTTTAATAAATTCATGCTGGAATTTTAAAAATTGTGCAGTTTTTTTTTAAATGTTAGTAATTCTTGGAAAGATGTCAGTGGCATTCTGAATTTAAATGTCACTTTGCTTTTTTAATTTTTATTGTTAGTTAATAAGTAATTTTTATAAAGATGTCAGTGGCATTCCAACTTCAATATTACTATGTTTTAACTAGAATAAGATGAAGAAAAAAAAAATTATTCAACTTATTTTTTGGTGAATTTTTAATTACCGGTAATACATTTGCTTTGATCATTTGCTATCTATTTTTCATCATTTTTAGCAAAGTTAGCAAAGGAGAAATATTTTTTTTTTTTTGAATTTTTATAATGAAAAGTTATTATAAGGTCTGAATAATAAGAAAGAAGTGGGTTTATTGTTTCTGTTTGTGTCAAAATGTTGAAGTTTCTGTTTGTCCACATGTGCAATTTAACATTTTTTATTTTCAAAAGCATCTGCATTTTAAAAAAAACAACAATAAACCAAAACATTCTTATCCTCTGGTGTCTGCCTCTGCATTTTTGTTGAGCTGTTTTACTGGGACATCCATTTTTGGTATACATTTAGCAATCATGGTACTGTGTGGCGCCTCTATTAATGAGCACCCTTTTGCTAATTTTACTGTAACAAAGCGCAGAATGTGATTCAGCGCACCTTTTTGTGGGGGGAATTGATGCCACACGCATAGTGGTCAGTGGTATTAATTATGTTGAACTTGTAAAGTTCAGGGGGCTACATTATGTCATTTATATAGCGGTCAGTGGCTGGAAATTAATGTAACTGAATAACTAATAATATTTTATAGTTATAGACAGTATTGTTTTGTTAGAGCTGTTTATCAGCTGATGTTAGTAATGAAATGCTGCTAATTAGTGTTGGCATTTACTCAAGTGGACAAGGATGCTACACAATTTGACCAAGCTTATTCATGCGTAACAAGTCTCATCATTGTCAAGTTTATTGGACAAAAAATTGTCCCACAATTTGAATATAAATGACATATAAAGCAAAAGTCCTGCTTGACCAAAAAGAGGACTTAACATGTAATAAGAAGAATGTACTTAGGGAGCAATAGATTGAATAAAACACCCTTAAATTGAAGACTTTAAAAAAAATATACAGTCTATCATACACTGGACAGCATATTGTGAACATTTATCAGTTATGATCCATCAAATATGTAAGTCAAAAACATCCATTTACCAAGTGCACAGCTTTAAGTAATAGGAAAACTGTGACTGATACAGGAAGAAAAAAAATAATAATTTCAGATTGTTTGATAATTACTCAACCACAACTACAAGTTTAAATGCTCAATTTTGAAACTTTCCACAAATCTACACCAAAATAAATAGCTAGGGAGTTTTTTAAATTATTTGTTTCTAAACATTAGAATCTAAGTTCATACCGGTAGTTTATACTTAACAATCTGAAACTAATGACTGTTTCAATAAAAAAGTCAAATTTATTTATTTAGTTCATTGGGTAATTATGCAGCCAGGTCCTCCATGTCCTCTACTGTAACACTTAGCATAAGCACCCACTCACTGGATAAAATTAAACTTTTGGCTCAAGTACCAGAAATACTGTGGCAGAAAATATCAAAAGCATATTACCGTATAGACATCTTCACAGCTGGTTGAAGACAGCCACATGATATATTTAAGATGCTCAAGTGATACAAGTACAAAATGTCAGCAAAACAAAATGCATCACTTTGGAAAAGTCCCATTAGCTAAAGATACAGGTCTGAAAACTCATCCATGCACTGACATTTTTTCCACACCTGTAGACTTCATTCTAAATTCCATTTGAGACCATGCTTTCAGACATCAAACTTCCAATGTTTCTCAGGTCCTACCATACAAAGTTCATGCTCACAAATGCGTGTAGCACAAGAAGATCCCATTTGATCAAGTAAATATCTTTTTTTATAAATTATCTCATGTGTTAGATACTCTTAAAACTATACTTAGGTAAATAAATAAAATTATAGTTTCCAAATAAGATCATTGGATAAAAATATTGAAACCACTTATATATCAAGAAATTTGATGAAACTCTTTTTAAAAAAAACAACATGTTTTCAATTATGCAAATTTCCTCTTTTAAACATTGCCACAAAAGCCTTAAAAAATGTCTCGTGTTTGTTTGAAAATCTGTTGTCTATTTTTTCTATTCCAACCATTCATTAAAAAAGAAAAAAAAATTATTCCTGCTCTAGGCACTATTAACTATTGCAGTTTACTTCCTTTGACAAGGAATATTTAGTAAAAATGTACTCCCGTTTGTTTCACACTATTAAAACAAAAATGTAACAGTTTCCACTTCAATCATATCTTTAGACATGATGCAAGTCTGGAGATCTTAAATTATCTGCTTGCAAGCCCAGGCTACAAACATATGTTTTGTTTCATCTCAGAATAACCTCAAACATCACAAATATTAAGTTTCTCAGTGATTAAGTTATCTGTCCAACTATCGGGAGCGGTGAGCCAGATTTTTTAAGAGCCTGTGGTAAATTTTAATAAACAAAAATTACTTTAAATTAGTAATTTTTATCGTGATCATTTCCTAATTTAAAAAAAAATAAAAATAAATAATCAAACATTTGTTAAGAGTACAAGAGAGGGAGTCCAACTTAAAGAATAATGCCTTTTGGTGTGCTCCAGCATAATGGACAGGCAACTCCCTTGACAGCTTCAAAGACACGTTGAGAAGATTCGTAAGCAGTAAAGAGTTCGTTTGCTTGAAACTGAAAATTAAATAGAGAAACATGTACTTTTTAAAAAAAATCAGTCCATCCATTTAGTGACCTCAACACATTACACATAAAAGTTATACTGGAGCAAATGTCATCATTTAAATATCTTGTATTATTAATATTTCCTTTGATCTACTGGTCAAGCATGGCTAACATGCTTTGAGAAAGTTGCAGTTCTTGATAATTTGTAAAACATTTCATGTTTCTATAATTGCAGGGGCTTTAATTTGTAATGTTTGTCCAGAGTCAATAAGACTGTTACCAATGTTCAGAGTCAATGTTCAGAATCAATGTTCAGAGTCAATGTCCATAGTCAATGTTCAGAGTCAGTAAGACTGTTACCACTGTTCAGTGTCAATAAGACTGTTACCAATGTCCAGAGTCAATTTCCAGAGTCAATAAGACTGTTACCACTGTTCAGTGTCAATAAGAATGTTACCAATGCCCACAGTCTACGTTCAGATCCAATGTCCAGAGTCAATGGTCAGAGTCAATGTCCAGAGTCAATGTTCAGTGTCAATGTACATTGTCATTGTCCAGAGCCAATGTTCAGTATTAATTCCATAGTCAATGTCCAGAGTCAATGTTCAGAGTCAATGTCCAGAGTCAATGGTCAGCGTTAATGGTCAGAGTCAATGTCCAGAGTCAATTTTCAGTGTCAATGTCCATTGTCAATGTCCAGTGTCATTGTCCAGAGCCATTGTCCAGAGCCAATGTTCAGTATCAATGTCCAGAATCAACTTTCAGAGTCAATGTCCAGAGTCAATGTTTAGTGTCAATGTCCAGTGTCAATGTCCAGAGTCAATGTCCAGAGTCAATGTCCAGAGTCAATGTCCAGAGTCAATGTCCCGAGTCAATGTTCAGAGTCAATGTCCCGAGTCAATGTCCAGAGTCAATGTCTAGAGTCAATGTCCCGAGTCAATGTCCAGAGTCAATGTCTAGAGTCAATGTCCCGAGTCAATGTTCAGAGTCAATGTCCAGAGTCAATGTCGAGAGCCACCGAAACAGCCAAAGCTTGCGTTGTTTGTAGCATATTTAAAACTGCTGTCATCTGTAATGGTAACTATACGCTTACACTACATTCCAGCCCAGGTTGTTTTTGGAGTATAGCACAAACAACACGCGATGTGACCTACATCCGTCATTTCGGATACCTGCGGCATTGTAAGTTGTAGGCCGCTGGGTTAGATTTATTCACATTAGCTAATTACATGACAAAGTCGAATTTCCTAGTTTCATTTACCTGCATTAGACAACCTTAAGAAATGACAAAACTCGGTCCTCTTCCACCGCTTGTTGAAAGGTCTTGTAATCCTGAAAGGACACGACAAAGAGACAGATATTAAATTTTGATAAATCATGACATTTTTTTATGATTCCATACTGTACGCCCTATACTCAGAAGATGCTTCAAAGCGGTATGACAGGATCTCGCGGATTAAAAAGTACCGTGAAGTCACCGTAATCCATTTGTGGACAAACATGTGCCCATTTCTGAACAGGCAAAACATTTATAGTACGGTGGCCAGGAAGGTTAAAAAAAATATTAGGATGTCCATGGAGGCATCAAACACTTCGTTTTTGTCCAGGTCCTCACTAGCAATCCAGACATCTCATCACTAACAGGATAAACAGAGACCAAGCTGCGATGGCCACATTTCAAAAGTACCTGTTCAACATTGGAGCTGTGGGGCATTCTTATTAATCTGGGTACATGGAATAGAGAACATTTTCCTTTGGCATCAAAAAAATAAATAAATAAATAAAACAAAAAAAAAGACCATATCCGTAACATCTAAAACATTTGAAAAAACAAATATTTTGTATGCGTTCCAAAAGAAATTTGACGAAAATTTTAAAGTTTGCACTGAAAAAATGATTCGACCAAATTTGCGTTCGATCAAATTACCCTCGATCAATTTACCGTCGACGAAATTTCTTTCGATCACATTTCCGGTAACCCTCATTTTTATCTGTTGTTAGATGAGTAAAAAAAAAAAAAGACAGCTGTAAGATTTTAGAGATTTTCAGAGTTTGAGAACCCCTGATCTAACGAGATGCTTCTTATTTAAAAACCTAATAACGTCATTTAAATTGAAGATTTACTGATAACATTACTTAGACACCCAAAGGATTTTTTTTTTCATTAAAAAGATGCCACTGTAAAATTTACCACGGCCTGTCAGAAAAAGCATTTGTCCTCCCCCCCCCCCAATCACCCTGCACGCGTCCATCTTCCAATTTAACCTACTCCCATTGAATAACGTTGAAAAGCACCTTATTTGTGCGGTGTGAGAATTGCATAATTTAAATGACACCCAATCAGTAAGATCGCAGTCACGACCCGTTGTAAGACACAGAGTTGACTGCCAGACTCAACAATAACACGCAGAACACAAGTTGGACGGATCTAATGTTGGTGCCTGTAGCACTGACAATAAAACACATGACACATGTGAGCGGGGCGGATCTAATGAAGTGAGATGGTGCCTGTAGCACTGACAATAAAACACAAGACACAAGTGAACGGGACGGATCTAATGAAGTGAGATGGTGCCTGTAGCACTGACAATAAAACACAAGACACAAGTGAACGGGACGGATCTAATGAAGTGAGATGGTGCCTGTAGCACTGACAATAAAACACATGACACAAGTGAACTGGACGGATCTAATGAAGTGAGATGGTGCCTGTAGCACTGACAATAAAACACATGACACAAGTGAACTGGACGGATCTAATGAAGTGAGATGGTGCCTGTAGCACTGACAATAAAACACATGACACAAGTGAACGGGACGGATCTAATGAAGTGAGATGGTGCCTGTAACACTGACAATAAAACACATGACACAAGTGAACGGGACGGATCTAATGAAGTGAGATGGTGCCTGTAGCACTGACAATAAAAACACAAGACACAAGTGAACGGGACTGATCTAATGAAGTGAGATGGTGCCTATAACGCTGACAATAAAACACATGACACAGGTGAGCGGAGCGGATCTAATGAAGTGAGATGGAGCCACACTTACGCCACAGTAATAATCATCGTTAAAGATCTGTGGCGCCACCGCTGTCTCATTGCCGCATTTCTCTCTCATCTCGTCCTTCTTGCTGACGTCCAGGGCGATGTCGATGAACTGGTAGGGCAGCTGCTTGGCTTTGAGGACCGTCTCTATGTGGCCCTGCTGTGTGTGGAGCTGGTGTGGAGAGTCAGTGCAGAGTTAGCTTAGACTCGACAACAGAGACAGCATGAGTGTGATTATATGCAATGTAATGAAAATCCAACTCAAACATTATATATAGATATATTTACCTACATCTGTTATTTTTATACCCCTGTAGAATTGTAGTTGTAGGCTGCAGTTATATATATATATATATACATATTCTAGATGGGGCAACGCAGAAAATATGGTATGTGGTGCATAATCTGTCATCAGTCCCTTCATCTGCCTCTATAGCAATTAAGTTTTAAGCTGTCCATGAGCTGTTGTTAACGAATGTGTTATTTTGTGTGCATTTGGCATGTATGGCGGAGTAAGCAGCGAATGAGAGCGCATCACTGTACGCACTGAGAGTGGGGCGGACAAAATCTACGCGTTCGGAACTAGTGGACTGGATTTCAATCACCAGAAAACGCATAGACAAGCAAAAAAAAACAAAACTATATAAGCAGCCCGGTTGGATGGGAGCCGTTAACCTTGGATGGCAACTCATCTATGAGAAGGCAAACGCTGAAATAAAACTCGGAGTTGGAGCCCCGATGGCCTTAAAACATTTTCACCATGAAAATTTTCCGACGTCCCGCGACGCAGAACGCTTAAAGGGCACAGTGTTGGTCATCAATCGTATCCTGGTCTCTTTACAGTCTTCTTGATTAAGTCTTGCCATGGATCAAATAGGCAAGGACGAAATAGTGAGGCTGAAGAACAGAGCAACTCTCCCTCAATTTGTTTAAAAAAAAGATTACAGCTCAAGTCAAGGCTACTACTCAAGTCATGGCTACTACTCAAGTCAAGGCTACTACTCAAGTCAAGGCTACTACTTAAGTCAAGGCTACTACTCAAGTCATGGCTGCTACTCAAGTCAAGGCTACTCACTACTCAAGTCAAGGCTACTACTCAAGTCATGGTTACTACTCAAATCGAACATTGCCCTGGTCAACCTAACGTGCGAAGGACGAACAACTTATGCTTGGGGGTGGACACAGGGGACTCCTAACTGCAGCTGACACCATCGAATGATTCAAATTATTATCTAAAAATAGACATAACACAACCAAATTTATATAAATATTTGATGAATGCTTGAAATATTTACGATATAATAATTGAAGGGCCGCATTCAAGCTGTGTAAATGAAATAGTAGAACACGATATGGTGAAACTTGAGTCAATAGACAGGAAAAGATATGGACCTTTCGGATTAGAGCCTTTTTCAGCAAATGAAAATACAACAAGAAACAGAGCACATTAATTAAAAAAAAAAAAAAAAAAAAAAAAAAAAAAAAAAAAAAAAAAAAAAAAAAAAAAAAAAAAAAAAAAAAATTGAAGATATCCTTTTTTTTTTTTGTTTTTACAATGCTCTGCTTCTTCAAGCTTCAACATGCCCCCTTTCTACTATTTCATTGCAAGAGCTAAGACGTAAGTGATTGTGAACTGTATGAAAAGCGTTTATAGGGTGAAGTATACGGAACTAACTTTATTCCTCTTTAAAAAAAAAAATTATGAACCCTTTTCCTCCAAATTTTGTTAAAGCTAAATCTTAAAGGATACGACTATTCAGCAATGTCAGTGAGGCGTGGTGTGTCATTAGAATACGTTTGTTATAATAATATAATAGTGTTACTTAAATCAATATATTTACACCGAGTAGTCTACATTACATTACTTTGCGGCCACATGACCTAAAATTAGGATACCTCAATATTTTTTTTTATTTTACGTGTTCGTTATGCAAAATTTCGACTGAAAAAAAACAACAACAAAACAAAAAAAAAAAAACAACAAAAAAAAAAAAAAACAAAAAAAAAAAATTTTTTTTTTTTTACGGGTTCGTTAAGAAAAATTTCAACAAAAAAAAAAAAAAAAAAAAACAAAAAAAAAAAAACAACAAAAAAAAAAACAACAAAAAAAAAAAAGGACAACAGTTCAGCCGTTTTCACAGGACAGGCCTGCATCTGTTCATCGCCGGTGACTCATCACAAAACGAAGCATCACTGAGATAGTCGCAGTTGTTTCTAATTACTGACTCAACTTCATAAAATTATTCAGGCTGTGCACGTTACATTACACTGTGGCTGAGCTTAGTGCGTACACAGGAAAGTTAAGGCGTGGATAGGATATAATGAATGGGGGTGCATCTGTTTAGTGATGGGGGTGCATCTGTTTAGTGATGGGGGTGCATCTGTTTAGTGATGGGGCGCATCTGTTTAGTGATGGGGCGCATCTGTTTAGTGATGGGGTGCATCTGTTTAGTTAGTGCAGGGGTGGGCAAACTTATGGCTCGCGCCTCCGTTATGAACGGCTCGCAATACCTTAATAAAAAAACAAATAACTAAAACGATTAAAAACATGGACTAAATTTTAAAAAATAAAATGAAGGTTTATTTTAAAATTTGTCTCAGATGTCATTAGTATGTGGGGGTTGTTTCGGATGTCACTAGTATGTGGGGTTGCTTTTGATGTCACTAGTATGCTGGGTTGTTTTGGATGTCACTAATAATATGTGGGGTTGTTTCGGATGTCACTAGTATGTGGGCTTGTTTTGGATGTCACTAGTATGTGGGGGTTGTTCCAGATGTCATTAGTATGTGTGGGTTTTTTTTTTTCGGATGTCACTACTGTGAGCGGGTTGCTAAATTTGTCTGTTGAAATCCCGAATTTCTGGGGGACAGACATTTACCTCTTGGCATTGCGTTCCGTCTCTTAAATAATAAATTCCTGATCATTCGGGTAAATGCAACCCCCCCCCCCCTCCCTCCTTCCCATCCCTACCGAAAACACACACACACACACACACTTTCACCATTTATGGCTCCCATTCCTCTGTTACCCCCTTGAATCTGGTTCACAGCCCACCACCCTGGTTAAGGTTTATGTATGTGGAGCATACGGGAAGAAGGGAACCAAGGGCCTGAGGTTTATTGAAAGAAAGAAGGCAATTTGGTACAGCACATACACACATTTAAAAACACGTCACCGATTTTGGTAAACCTGACCCACCCATGAATCTTTTGACAGGAATCAGGTTGGAAAATTGATCCGAATTACGTTGGGGCCTTTGTAGGCGGATCCTGTGGGGGAATATGTTACCTCCCCCCCCCCCCTAAGGCGAACGCCCTTACAAGAGCGAAAAGGGGGAGGCAAAAGGAAGTTTTCACATTAAACCACTGTGATAAAAAAAAAAAAAAACTTTGGACAGGAATCAGGTTGGAAAATTGATCCGAATTACGTTGGGGCCTTTGTAGGCGGGTCCTGTGGGGGAATATGTTACCCCCCCCCCCCCTAAGGCGAACGCCCTTACATGAGCGATAAGGGTGAGGCATAAGGAAGTTTTCACATTACTTCTCTGTGATAAAAAAAAAAATAATTGGCGTGTATGAAAAGTAACAACGGAAACACGCCTAAAGATTGGCTACGGTACGGTATATGAAACACATGTGTGATCGGCATGAAGTAGATAAGGGAAACAATTTAAACTTAAGGACCAGTGAGAGGGGAAAAAAACAACATAACCACATAGATGAACAAAAGTGGCGCAACATATGTAAGAAGCCCCATAAACTACCGGTACTAAACTGACCACGGCTGAGCACCGACTTACCTCTTTTTTGAACGTCACCGAAGTGATATACACAATTATGGTCATCGCGATTCAGCAAGTCGGACTTCGAGAGACTTTTGTTGTTGTGCTGTTGTCTACCCACTCCAGTAGTTCGGTACTCCCCCCTGGCCTTCCTTCCTGATAGACTTGAGCTATCGCCTTAGCACCGGCACCCGAGTGCTGTAAACATGCTAAAATGATGGCGGGGGCGGCAAGGTACCTGCCTGTGAAAGAAAGTAAATTCAAGGACGATGGAGCCCAAGATTAAGTTCGGAAAGAATGCTTTCTAAATAATTATAAAAAGTGTTGGACTGCAGTAAAGCTTTAAAATAGATTAAAAAGACACGAACAGATTGCGTCAATGTAACAATATAAGGAAGCTTTAATACTAATTATATTTATACATAAGTAAACGTTTCGGCACATGCCTTCATCAGTACAAACAAACAAAACACATTTAAATAAGTGTAAATTAAATTTACATAATATAACTATACATACCCTACCTAAAACAGAAAAATAAGGGAAGTTGTAAGGATATTTAAATATAATATGGGGGGGAGGGACTTCGTTCAAGTTGAAACAAACGAAATTTACACAGCGTAGGGTAAAACCTGCAAATAAAATTTAAAATTTAAATAGAATATTTGAGATTTATTATCTCTTCCTTTCGTTCTCTTCCCTCTCATTTTCTCTCTCTCTCTCTCTCTCTCTCTCTCTCTCTCTCTCTCTTTCTCTGTCTCACACGAGTAAAACCTATTTTTATGAAAATACCCTCCCAACACCGAATCTAAGTTTTCTTTACTACTTCATGAAATTCGGAATGACGTCATGAATGAAACTTTGAATATAGTCAAAGAAAAACAATATGAGTATAATACATTAAAATTTCGTAGAGGACCTACGGACTGTTAGATAATATCAGTGGCGTAGAAAGAGTTAAGGCCGTCCGTGGAGGGGGCCAAGATTTTAGCCACGCCCCTTTCACAAAAAAAAGTCTGCAGTTGGCCGAAGATGCCACCCTTCCGTATAAAGATTTTTAAAAAATGCACCCCCACCTCGGGAGGATCGCCCCCATCTACATCATGATCCTTACGCCACTGGGTAAAATGTACATGGTTGTGGCTAACGTAGACGCCCTGGAAGCGTACAGAGATGTGTTACATCATATAGCCTTGACCATTTTATAAATAGCTTTACAGTACGTCAAAGTGCGATTCCAATTGTCTCCCCCCCCCCCAACCCCGCGCCCCCCATAAACTTGAACAAGTTTTACAGTAGCGCTCATCACTGTGTTTATAAGCAGTCTGTGAGCGAGCGTGCGCTGTGACCCTGACCTTCGAGCACACAAGTACAGGTTGGAATGGTGAGGAGGCCTCGAGTACGGGGGGCCGTCTTGTGGAGATCTTGAGGCCATCCTACTGTACACACTGTACACACTGCCGCCTGACAGCGGCGGATCAAATATAGGAAAGGGGGGGGTGGCAACCAAAAAGCTTAACTCATCATATCATATCTGCTGCCAACGGAGGACAAAGTCGTGGGGGGGGGGAAGGAGGAGGGGACCTCAAGGTAGCTTTTTACCATCATTGATGCACATCCGTACACACAACCAATTTAGCAGTGGTGGATCAAGTGTGGGGGGGGGGGGACCACCAAATAGTTTAACTCATTATAGAAACCATCTTCAACCTATACGTGGTGCTTTAAAAAAAAAAAAAGGGGGGGGGGGGGACCACCAAATAGTTTAACTCATCATAGAAACCATCTTCAACCTATCAGTGGTGCGTTAAAAAAAAAAAAAAGTTATGTTACTGGGGATGGGAGGTGAGTGGTGTTGCACATAGTTCATCACAGAATTAAGTAACGAAAGTAGATGGGAACCAAAAAAAGGAATTGTGCCGCATGATAATTGTACACCTAGATTTTGTTTGAAGCTTTTAACATGGAATCTTTTCGATATCAAGAGACATTTGTTTTTATGTTTCTCACAGGGATCTGTTCTTCCATAAATTATTTGCTCTTTGAATTTCTCCTCGGTGGTATTATTAACTCACAACTTATCGGCTTCCAGTGGGCTCAATGGTGGATATAAAGGGTGATTGGGGAATGATCATGAGGGAATGATCTTGAGGGAATATCATGAGGGATTGATCATGAGGGAATGATCATGAGGGAATGATCTTGAGGGAATGATCATGAGGGACTGTTCATGAGGGAATGATCACGATGGAATGGATCACGAGGGAATGATCATGAGGGAATGATCTTGAGGAAATGATCATGAGGGAATTATCATGAGGGAATGATCATGAGGCAATGATCTTGAGGGAATAAGCTTGAGGGAATGATCATGAGGGAATGATCACGAGGGAATGATCATGAGGGAATGATCATGAGGGAATGATCATGAGGGAATGATCTTGAGGGAATGATCATGAGGGAACCATCCGGAAACTCATGATTATAAAAAAGTATGCGTGCTTACATTAGAGACATGATTGGAAAGAGACATAATTAAATACTAGTATATGCATGGATATATTAGGAGATAAACTTTTTATATAAGAGATAATATGATAACATAACAGACGGTAAAGAACACACAGAGCTGTCTATTTCATTGTCCATAGACGGATGTTTGCAGTACGTCCAGGCCGGGGCCCGCCTTGAGGGCCTATGGTCTGCAAGGATGAAACGTGTTCATTGTAGCATGACGACACTTATAACGGAGACGAAATGAAACGTGAGAACTGGACGAGTCGTTTAATTAGTTATTCAACCCGGGCCTGATGTAGCGTAGCACCACAGCTCACTCAACATACCCCAAAAATATATTTTAACTTATGAAGAAGTTTAAACAAAATGAATTAGTTTAAAAGTATTATAATGGTTCAAATAAATATCATTTAACAGTAATAATATGAAGTAATAATTTAAAAAAAAAATTCATAGCATTTCTCCATGGAGATTTAGCGCAATACTAAATTTGGGTTTGGAGAAGAGAAACAATTATTGTATTTTGAATATGAACAAACATTTTCGGAGAGGGGGGGGGGTCAATCAGCCCTACCCACCCCAGCAAGCCCTTGATTTCCTTCTCCCCCAACACCTCCTCCCCCATTTCGGTTCTGGTGCGATTTAGGGATAGCGCTATTTTCAGGCTCGTTATTTCCAGGTGTCCTTGAGCCAAAAAACAGTAAAGATTTTTTATATGTAAAAAAATTGGGGAGGGGGAAAAAGGTAGACCAGGCAGTGGCGTAGCGAGACTATAATAATGTAACACAAAGAACGAATGCTCATTCGTGGGTTAAATTTACGTGTGTAACTATTATAAGGGAAGTAACAAACGAGGCGACTTTGAAAGAGATTTGAATGGGTTTTAGCCCTTGGCCTGTCCTGGGCATCAGTTACACCGCAATGGAACTGATTTATTAAGGTTTAATCTGTTTGTGTGTGTGTGTGGTGTGTTTGATTGTGTTTGTGTGTGTGGTGTGTATGTGCGTTTGTGTGTGTGTCTGTGCGTGTGTGAATGTTCAGAGGGCAGGCATACACATTAATGGCAAAGCTATAACTATTAATAGCAAGACATCGGCGTAGCTGCTTACGAAGTGTGAGTGGGACAGCCTCTATCACCAGGTCCTTGTAAATAGAGTCATTGAGGGGGGAAAAACAACAAGAAAAACAACTGTCGGTTAATTGCCACACAGGCTAGATCGTTTTCAAATTTGGAACATGTGTCATCGTATGTGGTTTTCCCCAATGCAGGGGTGTCCCTAACTTTTTTTTTTTGGAGCGAAGAACCATTTTATAACTTATACGTTAAGAAAGTGATATTGAGATCGCCGCTGGCAGGGGGTCGATGTGGGGTGTGAACGTTACCATGACACCCGAGTAAACAGTCTTTCTTCCAGCCATCTTTCCGGAAAGGTGGTGGCACAGTCAAATTCCCCAAACCGGAGAAAACAGTGCACAACAATAACGTCAAACGTTAGGCCTTTAAAAAAATAAACAACTGACTTGTCTCAGTTAAAACATAAAAAAAAACAATAATAATTTTTAGACCTGTCACATATTAAAATTATGGAACTATCGCAATTGATCAAATATCACGACGTTCGAATCATATTTGATGAACCGAATATTGAGGTTAATCTAGTTACAGCCCTCCGGCCTTCGATTCTAAACATTAATTTGAAATCACCTTGAATGAAGCCACCTTCCCAGTGTCAAAAAAAGTAAGCGATTATAAAATTTTGAAATAGTTCTAGCCAATTTTTTTTTAACCATGTGCTGCACATAAACATGTACAAAGTAATCAAATCACATTGCCCTTTATTTGAATCGAATAAATCAATCATATCCTTCTTTTAAGTTTTAAGCATTAGCAATCTATTTCAAATTTCTTAATACATTGAAATAAACGTTTTAATCTCTGGGAAGGGTGTTAATCTCTTCCCTTAAAAATAAACATCGTATAATTTTTAAATCTTAGTCGATATCGTAAGCGTTGAGCTAGATAAAAATGAAAACTTTACAAGTTCCATTCATTAAAATAAAAAACCAACATAAAAAAAATAAAATAAGATTTATCGTGCGCACACAAATGGTGCGCATACAAATGGTGCGCACACAAATGGTGCGCATACAAAAGGCGCGCATTAAGCCACGATAATTCAAACAGTTTTGAATTGAAAATCTTATTATTTTCAGTTACGCAAAAAAAAAAAAAAAAAAAAAAAAATCTATTAGGAAAATCTATTACCTCTAATTTATTGGTACAGGTATATAAATATTGCTTATTTTAGACATGGTCATGTAAAAAAAAAATATTTATATTACCTTCGCTTGTGTTCGTGGCTGGCTTGCGGGCTGGCAAAGTCTTCGGATGGCTGATGAACCCTCTTCCCGCCAACCTATCGAGCTGAAACTTGGCACATAGACTCGTTGCCGCTGACAACACATATTCCAATTTTTTTTCAGCTCAACCTCCTATCCCATAACCCCAGGAAATAAGTTTCCCCCTGTTTTTCAAGGGGAAGATGAAGGAAATAAGGTGATGCTAATTTCACAATATAAATTTCCCGATAACTGCGCTAAATCAGTTCCTTAAAAAAAAAAATATCTCTCAAGTGCGTGTGATGCGTAATATTT